ATATTGATCTATATTAATGCACAATGTATTTGAGGTACTTAATTGGATAAGAATTAATGCCGTGTTGCTTAAAATCGCTTCGTAAATAAGCCATTATTTCTCATAAAAAGTAAAGGATAAAAAATGGTTATTGTGGGTTATCCTTAAGAGATAGACATATACCATCGCGGACTTTTTTGTAGATCTTTTTAAGATGTACAATACTTTAGTACATTATTTTGATCTATCTCGTAGGGTTTAGCCAGCGTTTGCAATGCAAGCGCAAAAAATGTGTTTTACGACATCACATTGAAAACCTCTAAAATTATCAGTTACTATGTTATGCATGTATTATAGATATAAACCTTCCTCTTGAATCACTCTATCCATTAAAAAAACCGCATCAAAATCCGTTACGTAGATTTAAAGATCTGAGCATACATAGGGACAGACAGCGGGAAGCGACTTTGTTTTAATATAATGATGATCAAATTCAGCATTTAACAAAATATCAAAATAGATGCTAAATATGGAACAGGTACTCAAATATGGGCTACAAATAGAAACTTATAATATCTTGTACAAAAATAACAATTATAAATATTTATCTTATAAGAGATCAAATTGCTTGGTAGACGGAAGAAATCACAAAATTTACTTACAAAAATCACATATCCAGGTGTCAAATTCATTCACTATCTGAATCAAATTGGATAACTTCTTCACCTTCACTTTCGTCCCTGGTCTTGGCTTTCTTATTTTCTACACTTCTTTTCTTTTGCTTGGGTTTCTTATCTTTTGTTTTATTTTCTTTTTCAATTTGTTTCAATAAGGTTATTTTTATATGGAGACGAAGTTCATAACCGAGGCCACAGCAGCTTTTCTACCTCTATTGGATGTAGTGTTGCCCAAACGCAAGAACAAGACGAGACTTAGCCAGTCTTGGTCTTGGTCTTGCGCCAATACACCTGGTCTTGGTCTTGGTCTTGGTCTTGCGCTCCCAGTCTTGGTCTTGGTCTTGGTCTTGCAGCAAGAGTCTTGCAAGTCTTGCAATTACCTATTAGTCTATTACTATTTATTAAAGTTTACTTTAAATCCTAGAAAAACGTATTAGAATTGGAACATTGTGAGCTTGAATGAATATAGCCATAGTAAAGATCAAGCAGATTAATAAATAACTGAAGATTTGATAAGAAATTCGAAAAATCAACTGACCTATATGTCGTTTTCCATGGAAGTAACTGTTTCTTAATAAACATTTATGATCCTTGCTTTCTACCGCGCCGCCTCGCCACGTGCCGGCTCTATGATAAGGATGCCGCCGCAAATCAAACAATAATATAAAGCGTGTAAAAAAATTCGAAATTATTTTGCATGAGTATACCTACACCCTATGGCGGCAATCAAATAGTGTCAAATGTTATGATTTCGGCGTGGCGGCAACGATTGTTTTAGATTTCAAAAGAAGCCGCCGGCGCGTGTATCATAACCATGTACTTCCGAAAAGCGGCAAATTTCTTTGAGAAGTAAGTACAAAACCTTTGATGCCGCATTATCAAAGTGCCGATGGTTAAAACATAACTATGCATGCACTCAGTTTGATTTTAATAATTTTTTTATTCGCTATGTTTATGGTATTAGTCGTAATGCGCATAGGTCCAGTTTTTCATATTCTCATAGAATTCCTAAGCGTACCTACCTATACACCGAACTGTTACACCTAACTACTCAGTGAAATAGCGCTAAGTCCTAGCTGCAAGACGCAAGAGTCTTGCAGGCTATGTCTTGTTCTTGCTCAAGTCTTGCACGGTCAGTCTTGGTCTTGGTCTTGCTAAAAATACGCGGTCTTGTTCTTGGTCTTGGTCTTGCAAAAACGCAAGAACAAGACCAAGACTGCAAGACCAAGACTGAATTTGGGCAACACTAATTGGATGTCTTTGTGACTTTTTTTGGCACGAGACTTATGTCATAAGGAGATACTAGACCTAGACTGCTACGATCAATTTGGAAGACGAAGGCTGACAGCCAGACAACCACATAACCAACCACCTACAATACCAATACCTAAATATGGGCTAGCCCATATTCAGGACCATAGTCATAGCCCATATTCGAAATTCTTTACTAAAATCAACTTGATCGTGTACTTAACAAATCATATATAGCAAGCAATAAATCGACCGAAAATCATAAAATTAAACTTATATTCTGCAATAAAAGACATAGTTACAGTATTTAGACCTAATTTTCATTAATTAAATAACACATTGATATGTATCGCAGAAAATTTTTCGACAGCAGCAACACAAGTATAGCCTATACAGGCGACATATCGCTCACGATTGACGAGATTGAGTGAATGCGATGTTAGAGCGAATGAATGCGATAGACGATCGTCGTTTGTTGCATCTTTCGATTGTAGGTTTTCGAGAATTGTTACTAGCCCATATTAAAGCACTAGCCCACATTTAGTTACTCTCCTCTAATAATACACAGGATGCTTTTTACATAAATACCTACCTTCTTATATCTTATGTTTGTTCCTTTCAAATTTAGAATTTTTTATTCCTCCTTTCTAAAGTTATATATATATACTTTAGTAGTGAAACTACTTTTTAGTTTTGTTTGGAGCTTTTTCGCTCAACTTTAACTTTCAACACCTAACTGTTAAAAACATTCACCACTTCTTAAAATATATATATTTTTTGTACTTGCTACATTATATATAACGTGAAATACGGAAATGTGTTTTTCTTTTGTAACAGTGCCTGTAGAAAAGAATGACGTACTGCCTGCGCTTTCCATGAGCATAAAGCAGCAATAAAATGGTGCTGTCACGTGTTTATGGGATTAGCGGATTACCTTCAGTTGACCTTCGAGGTCTCGACCCAAACATCAACATCACAGCTTTCTTGTTGTCGCAGTGACCTGTTCACATCTTCGTAGTATATAAAAGCGCAAGTACATATTTGAATGTACTCGTAGGTACTTATTTGTACGTACTATANCCTTCGGTTATACCATTATTAAATACGGTTTTTATGACATTAGATGTAAAGACGTAAAAAGTTTGAAGTATTTTTATTAACTAAAGAGGATGTCTCCCCCACCACTGTACCATAAAAGGTCCGTGGCGGTCTCACCCCCATAAAAAGTTATGGGGGTTACATGGGGGTGGGGGATCAAATGAGGGTAGGGGGAATCGAAAGAGGGTGGTCACCTGAGCAAAACCCCATAAAAAATTTGCAGCGGTCTCACCCCCCATAAAAAGTTATGGGGGTTGAAAGTTGATTATTTTGACAATTTTCCTACACTATGATTCAAATGAAATTCAATAAAACAATTATTTTCAAGCGGGTGGAGGTGGGGGATCGAAAGAGGATGGTCACTTGAACAAAACCCGATAACCTAACCAAACCTAACCTACCCTATTGATAAAGTTTTATATAACTTTCTCAATATTTTTATGTATTTTTCATTAGTTTTACCTTTGAATATTGTTTATGAATGACTATATAAATATTTACATGCCTAGAAATGTATAAAAATTGGCATATTTATAAACTTTGAACCCCATAACTTTTTATGGGGGTGAGACTGCCACGAACTTTTTATGGTACAGTGGTGGGGGAGACCTCCTCTTTCGATCCCACCCACTAGACATCATCTAGACCTTTACCAATCTAAGTCTTTTATTCAACTGCGCTTACTGCACCTATATACTGCAGGATCTTACCGCGCGTTGGAAAATTACGGATCTTATTTAGACCCACGAATATTTTTGCATTGTTTAAATTGGAACAAAGATGGCACTTCCAAGATCCTCCTATTGCGTCACATCTTAAATGCTTCTAAAATAAGATTTTCTTTTCAGCAGCGCTCGACGTTAGGGTTGCCATCCGTATATTATTATAAAGTATTGTACGTTATTTAGGGTAATTGTATTCTATACTTTCATCATCATAAGGTCGTCAGTCCTAAAACTGGTTGGACACGCACCTCTACTTTTCACATTTCTCTAAAACTAAGACATCCCACATCCTTAACTATTTGTTAACAGTAATCTAATCTGCGTATATCATTACTCCTCTTAACTTCTGTTTCTGCCTCTAATATGTCTCTGACTAGAGCTTCATGCCTGAGAAGGTGTCCTACCAACCTATCTCGCCTATTTGTTATTGACTTCCATAGAGTCCTCTGTCCTCCTATTCTTTCTAATACCTCTTCATTTCTAACCTTCTCTATCGACGGTATTCTCATAATTCGCCTGTAATACCACATTTCGAACGCTTCCAATCTTTTTCTTTTTCTATTTCCCATCTGTACGATTTAATTTCTTAATACGACTAATTGTAAGTAAACTATTATTTACCTTATGACCGGCACATCCGCCATAATTGCTCTAAAATGCAGTCTTACATGTAACAGTACAAAATATTGTATTCTCGTTAAGTAATTTCACTCGTAAAGTCATGTCTTTTTGTACACACCCCAACAACGTACTGAAACAACAAACAAAAGTTTCAATTCCGAAGTGTTTAAATTTCAAAGAAAACCTTAATAAATTACGAAAGTTTTGTCCAATGGTAAACGAAATACTGTTCGAAAGCTCTATTATGCAAAATAACTTATTAATCAATTTTTTAACTTCAATTCAAGAACACAAAAAGTGGACAAAGTAGAAAAAATTATGAGCATTATTTTTATTACCCCACAAATTAAAGATCAAAAAATTGTGTAATCGGAAATACCCTACAAGTTGATTTGCTCTCAATTTTTCGTCCCACACGTAAATACTTAGAAGAAATTAAGAACAAGTAAATATCCGAAATACCTTTATTGAATCTCATTGAATGTTTTTTGATTAGGAGTACAATATATTTGATCGCAGCAATAGAAAAAGCAGAAATTTTTAAAATCGAAAGAAGACATTCTTTTTTGTCAATGTTGTCATTATTATTATGTACTTATGTATATTCTTCCTATGTTGGAAATAAGAAGTAGTCTTTATGAAACCACGTCAATTCTTTTCTTGTTTCAGGAGGGACGTGTTGGTCGGCAATGGTAAAAAATAACCGGTGTACGGAATTACTGACGGAGTCAACAAGCAAGGAAGAATGTTGCGGCGGCAATGGAGTAGCGGTTGCGTGGTCTGCTGAAGAACTTGATTCAGGTGCTCTGTTTTTCTGGAAAGTACTTGGGGGTGGTGTTCCATGTAAACCATGCAAAGGTAAGACTGTAATTCATGATATCCTATTTAATGAACACCTTGCTTACTTAGTATTTGGCTTGCTGTCATCAGAAGTAAACCGTATATACTTCTTATTTTTGAAGTGAAACTTCTTTATGCACGGTAGGGTAAGTTCGTTTCATGCAAGTTGCTATGTAACGAAATCATGCAACGGATGTCTCCCCTCTACTCGGCCACGTAGTGAGAACTCCGGCATGTATAGGTAGTGTAAAATTTAAATTCAGTGTACAAATAATACCAATTCTTTAACCCCTATCCCGCTATGTTTGTGTATTTGAAGAAGTTTCACTTCAGTAGCGTGTTGTATAATTACACCTTGCATTTTTTATTTCTTATAACTTGAAGTATTGAGATCCGTCAAATGGGAGAGCCTAAAAACATGGCGCCGAGCAATTTCCAAGTTTTTAAATTACGATAAAATGATAAGTATTGACACAATATGTGATTGGGCTGACACAAAGCCTCGGAAAGGAAATTTCGTTGAAGGTGAGCGTGTTTTTAATGCCAATCACACTTTAAAATTCGGAAATAACAAATCCGGAAGCTAGCCTTCAAATTCCGTCAAGTTTACTGCCTACTTTTTACAAACTTGGGACTTAAAAAGTGATTCACGTTATATAATTGGTGAGGTGATTCTGAGTGATTTAAGCAATATCATATCAATGACTTGCACGTGCAAAGCCGATTTAAGAAAACGTTGCAAACACATTATTGCAATTTTGTTGTTTTGCAGCAGGTAGGTTTTTAACCTCAAAATACTTATATCGTATCATTAGAATTGTGTTAAATCAATTACACAGGAATAAATAATTTCTCACTTTATAATTTTAGTATGATTCTAGTTTTAAATATTAAAGTTATGGCTGATGGTAAATACTTGCTGAAATATAATCATGTGCATTAAAATGACGTGAACAAATTTTTATTCCGGAATTCACTTCTTTGCTACCTACTGCTTTCATCCAAGCTTCTATTAGTTTACTTTTTTCTCTAATTTTCCGAATATATTTTTTACATATATAAAACGGTTAGTTTTTATTGAAAAGTAGTTAATGTAGGTGAAGAGTGAAGATCTATGTCTGAAGTGCTATTGCAGCTTTGCAGTATTCATTATTGAGTTAACCCTGATCTTTTCACAATTAGCAGTTGTGGTTCCGTGTTAAAGCTCCATTGATATTAAAAAAAACACTTGCTTTCTTATTCTCCAAAATTGTTGCATAGCAATAGATTTGAGTCGGTTGTACACAAACTTTTTACTTTACAATTTTTATCATCGCTTTTGTTATGTTTATTAGTCTACAAGTGTAAGTGTCGTGTTTTGAATTCGGTCTTTTAATGTAAATAAATATCCTTACACCAATCGAGTATTTATCCTTATCGAGGCTTTTCGTGCCATCAAAAAGTGCATTCATATAAGTCGTCAAACCAAGGCGACAACATTTTTGGTCCTTCGAGCCGGATTGTTTCTCCATACAATGGCTTCTTTGGATGAATGGCGTATACTGTAACGATAATGAACAAATTGTACTATATAATGACAGTACGCTGTAAAAGCAAAAGTGAAGATAACATTAAAATTTGAAATTGAAATACAGAAGGGGAGAATAATTGGTATGTATTTGATCATTAAGAGTAGTACTTAGTTGCTTGTAGTTATTAATAAAGATGCAAAGAAGATTGTAAAACAGTTTAACATTGGACAAAGTAGAAGATCTTTTAATTAACGAATAAACGAACATCCAAGAAATTTTAACTGACCCCAAACAACATCAACTCAACGAAGAATTTAAAATATTAAGCAAGTTACATAGCGGTGTTTAACTTAATTTTATGTAATAAAAACAATAAATAAAATCAAATAGATATCTTTTGTCTGTTGAATATCAACTTAAGATTTCAATATTATTCAATTACCCATTTTTTCTTTCATATCCTATTGTTAGTATAAGCTATAAGCTCAATTTGTCTATAATATTAACGGTATTTTTTCCACCTGATGATACCATTGATCGTAAAACAATTGTTGTAAACAATTAAACAATTTTTGAATCATAGTGCATTTTCTTTAATTTAACCATTTAGATATAGAAGGTACAGTAAAAATAAGTTAAATATTTCCGGAGTTAGCTTAGCAATCTCTTTTACCTTTATAGAACAGTCTGTTTTTATATAGCATAATGCAGACAAGTTTAGTAAAAAAAATAGTAATAATCAGTGTTGTTAAAGTGGATACCTAGCTATTCCGTTCGTGGCTTTCTCCACCATTTGCCTTCGTGTTGTTAGCCATGCTCTAACAACTACACTAATAGCATAGGCAAGAGAAAAAGAGAACGGTTGCAAAACATAAATGGTATGTTTATTTCGTCTTTTTGCACTGCCTTTCCATCTAGCCGTTTCAACTTTACTACCATAGATTTCAACTTTCGTCACGGTCTAGCAACGTCAAATTCTTGCCTAAGATTATTTAGTAAAATCGTACAAGTTGTCACCAATGTTGGAAGATTTTTGTAAAAACACTGTTGTAGACATATAATTTTGAAAACTTGTGAATACTGGTTAGATTTAAATTATGGCGCTAGAGCTGGGTAAAGAAAAATAAAAATTGCTTAAAACAATTTGATGCGAATAATTTAAATCAATATGAATAAGTATCGTGAATAAATATGAGAGAAAGAGATGTGAACTGCAGTAGTATTTGATGATAAATGTAACCCATTCATTTGAAGTTGAAAGTTCTACTAGAGACTTAAAAATGCGGTTTATGACATTTTTAGATCGACTTTGATTACACAATTCTGTCTGAAATAGTAGTAGATTTCGAGATATTTCGATTTTCATAGAAATCTTGAACATCGCATGCATATTAGGCGACTAGCTATCTGTACTGTTAGTGTCTTAAATGTATAGAGGATGTTGAAAATTAGCCGTCCAACGTATAAGACTTCGAACACTCACATTATTTTTCAAATGAAACATCCTGTATATTATTTCATTAGTGAACGTAAAATTGAATTCTGCATCGCATGCTATAGGTATCTGTCAGTAATAATTTTTGAGCTATAAATTTTTTTTGAAAAACCCCAAAATGGCGACGATGGTTTCAAAATTAGATGAATAATAATACGCTATTTAGCATGGAAATTCAATTGTAAATTTTCATAAAAATCGAAATATCTTTCAGATAGAGTTGTGTAATCAATGTGGATCTAAAAAGTTCCACTGAATCTAAAAAATATAGCATTCTATTTAAAATAAATTGGTTGGTGTCGACTTTCGATTGCAAATAATTGAATCAAAAAGAACGACAGCTTTTAGGTTATTTACCGCATTTTCAAATTTCTAGTGGTACTCTTAAGTTTAAAAACTTTAATGAACTGCCTGAGGAGAAATTTCTTAGGGAAATCCCTAATATGATTCGCGCCGATTCGAGTTTTACTAGGGCTTACCTTATTAGGGTACTGAAATATGGTTCTAATCTGGTACTGATATAGAAATACATACTAGGCTGTGCCTGATCAGGTTCTGATTTGAATTGCTTGATTCAAACCCTATTACGGAATTCCCTATTTTGACCTATCTGGCCCTGATGTGCTATGCCTGACTTTGTTCTAGTAAGCTGTATCTGATCAGGTTCCTGATCTGATATGCCTGATTCAAGTTCTATTACGGAATTTCCTATTTTAACCTTTATGGTCCTGATGTGCTATGCCTGACTGTGCCCTAGTAGATCACGCCTTATTTGATGATATCTAGCCCTCATTAGATATACCTAATTAATCCCTAGTGGGTAATGCCTTATCTGATCGTATTTGAACCTGATTAGAATTATCTGTTCCTGTCCTACTTATAGGTCATGCCTTATGTGACCTCATTTGGGCTGATAGGATCTGTTTTCTAAGGCTTAATAATAAAAGAATTTTCCTAAAATACTTCTAAAAATTTCACCGAGTTACCAGTGAATTTTTATATAAACGTGAATAATGAATATGCTTTGTAATGTTTTAGTAACATTTTCAAAAAAATATTTTGAATATGGTCTTAAATTACAAATGAACATTTAATTTAGAAATATCTCAGGTAAATATATTGAGTCAAGCCTAAATAAAAAATACTTTACATTGTTTCTTAATACGTGTAACTTTGTTTTCACTTACGATCAGTATTATTTACATATATGCACTTTGTTAATACGATTATATTTAGTGTGCATTTTTCTTTTTGTGTTGTGGTGTAACGTGCAATCCTTGACTCTTACTTGACAAAAATATATTCTAATAAAACAAACTGTTAATAAAAGAATTAAACTGAACAATAATGAAGAAGTGTTAATTCTCGGAAATGCTGAAGGTAGGAAGATAACTGAGGCAAGAAGAGATGTTTTTTTTTTCAGCAATTGTTAAACAGCAAATTTTTATGGTAGATTTTATTACCAAGACCGACGGATATCGGACGGACGCATCTGAAAATGTTCGGGATTGTCAACATATGTGGGTATTTTTGCCTCGAAATTATCAGGAAGTACAAAGTAAAATCATAAGTAAGGTCATAAAGAGAAAACAAGTTTTGTACATGTTAGAAATCCAGACTCCCCCATAAGCGAGTATGCATGGTATACACCTCATTCGCGTGAGGTGGTGAATCACAATTCTAGATAATACTTGGCAGTAGTCTATTACTGTAGCCGTTGTAACCAGCGTGCAATTTATCCTTCCGGGTTCTTGAATTGAAGTAACCACTTTAGGGAGGCAAAGAGGTATTCATGATAAAGTTTGAAGATTTTAGCCATAGACTGGTAACACAGTAATTTCGTTCTTGCTTCGAGAGTATTTTACTAAAGTACCCTATGACCTTTTCCTTTCCGCCTTGAACTTGGAATAACACACCACCAAACCCCACATTACTAGCGTCAACACCAGCAACTAACGGTTCTCAGAATTGTATGTAGGTATATTTAAAAATTGGGGCTTCAAGCTTTCAAA